CGGTCCGGCCAGGTTCCGGCCGTTTGTTTTGAAAACACACGTGGCTGTGGTGCTGGGAAGAGCGAGGGAGGAAACCTGACTTTGAATATGTTACCGAGTGGAAAGGTCGAGGCAAAGGGCAGGCGGACCCGGCAGTTATGTGCGGAAGAGCCCCGACCGTAACACAGCGGCGCCTCCACCCCGGGCGGTGCTGGGTGCAGGTGTTTATTCGTATTCGTGCAGGGCATGTAGGTCCGCCCAGAGGAAGCGGCCCTGAAGACTCACACTCCCCTGTGCAACTCGTGGTCCCGGGCTCCCATCCGCCCGTTTTAGGGACCGGGGAGTGAGGGTGCTCCCGGGAACAGTTTGCAGAAATCTTTGCAGATCTCTTAACTGTCGACACTGCAAGGAAAGGCTTTGAGAATTGATCGCCTATAACCCTCATCTTGTAGAATTCTGTGCGCGGGCAGGCAGCCCGTTCTGAACGCCTGGCTTGTCATCTTCAGCAAACCTTTTGGTGATATTTTGTGGGAGGTATCCAGGTAAAATTGTGAATTCTCTTTGCTTAAGCACTGAATCCGTGTTCAGCATTAAAGTTCTTGACGCTTCGATGAGCTCATTGAAGAGGGGCCCTGCGTTCCTGGGTCGGAGGAGTGCCGGGTGCAGATTTGGTTTCTCTCCTTAAGTGGTCGAATAGAAAACAGTTGCAATTAACAGAAAACAGTAGCAATGGATAGAAACAGTTGCCTCCGTTAAAAGAGTCAGTCAGCAAGCCGGTGGAGCAGGAGGTTGGAGTAAAGTTTGTGCTGGGGTGTGAAATGGGGGGTGAGGCAGGGAACAGGAACAGAAGCAGGTGTTTCTGTTTTGGGACAAGGCTATGTCCCTTGGGTGGCACTCCCGATTTCACGAGATCTACTTTTTAGAAATGTGAAATGCCATCCATGCACCCATCAGTACTAGTATGCTCTTCATACAACTTTATGGAAACTTCCCACAACCATTTAAAATAGTGCACTCGATTGGGATGCTCAGAGTGCGGGGTTTGTGAGGGTTAGGAGGTTGGAGTCATTAGGCCCAGGTAGTGTGGTTAACTTGCTTCCTCTGAGTCTTTTTAATTTATCTGGGACCCACGGGTGGAAACAGTACTCTCTGTGTAGTGCTGGCAGTTTTCAGCGTGCTTTTACCTAATTCAGCATGTGAGATACCAAGACCCCAGACCAGGGGTCCTCCAACTTTTTAAACAGGGGGCCAGTTCACTGTCCCTCAGACCGTTGGAGGGCCAGACTATAGTTTAAAAAAAAAAACTATGAACAAATTCCTATGCACACTGCACATACTTATTTTGAAGTAAAAAAACAAAACGGGAACAAATACAATATTTGTATTTGCATGTGGCCAGCAGGCCGTAGTTTGAGGACCCCTGCCCCAGACAGACTGGCATGTTGAAACGGGTTAGCTTTTTCAAGGCCTCAAGAAAATGGGTGGCATCCGAATTAGATTAATTATTGGACCTCTGAACTAGATTGCCACTCATCAAAACTTTTTAAATGTAGGCAAATCAGTAAAAGCGAACCGCCTAGTGTCCCCGCACAGTATCTGAAGAGAAATCTCTACTAGGTAAATATTTGTCTATCACTGGGTAATGCTGTTTGGGATAAGAAAACTTTGAAGTAAAACTTGTGGACTATAGAACAGAGTTTTGAAATAGTTGTTTTTATTTCAGTGGAGTATTATTGGGTTAGTTTTCTCATTTCTACTAAGGCCAGAGATCAGGAATAGGCCGAAGAATACTAGTCGGGGTGAAGTTGTTCAACAGTGGGATTCTGGATTAGGAATGGAAAAATGATTAATATTTTTTGCTGTTTTGTTGGGGGTAAAAGATATTAAGGTATACAAATCATGTGAATTGGGTATAAAGGAGAGTAGCCAAGTGCTTAGTTGTGTCGTTGGGCACCATGGTTGCTGTCTGTAGTGTCATGGTAACCTGGAGTTTGTGACAGAGGCTTCTCTCTTTATGGTGGTGGTTGTGTTGCAAATAGATCTGTTAGGTTACTTAGGTTACCTGTAAAAATGCAAAGGGAAGATGAGGATGGAATACCAGTACAAGTTTATATCCTGAAGCCTCATGGTTTTCTAACTTTGTAGAAACATAAGCAACTAGAGGAAATACTTTTTAGTCAATAAAGCATGTACACAATAGGTTTACATCCTTCAGATGTCATCAGTTACTCTTTCATATTGGTTACATTGCTTAATTTTTAAGTCTTGCTTTTTCCGTCCCCTAACTCGGCGGTTCTCAACCTGTGGGTTGCGACCATCGGAAAACATATATAGCATATCAGATATTTACATTACGATTCATAACAGTAGCAAAATTACAGTTACGAAGTAGCAACGAAAATAATTTTATGGTTGGGGGTCACCACAACATGAGGAACTGTATTAAAGGGTCGCGGCATTAGGAAGGTTGAGAACCACTGCCCTAACTGATGAATGACACTGATGAATGACTTACTGTGAGTTGAGGATTTCTAGTCAAGGATTTTCTCTCTACTGGCTCATGACCTTGCAAGGTTTAATTAAGCTATTATTACAATTTATATCATGAGATGTAACATGTTGGTAAATGTGGAACTTTTAGTAACAGAATCCAAGAGTCTCACAAATTAGACCTTTAGATGAATCAAAGCTGATTGGAAAAGTTTTTGACATCGTAAACATGTCTTATTGGTCAAAAAAGGTGTTATTGAAAAATATTTTGATCTATACCAAATAAGAAATGAGCAGTTTCCACTCTCCTCTCCCCCAACTGCAGGTGTTAACAATCTCAGATGTAACCCCCTTTAATGGTTCTCATTTATAGTATTAAGATATATTTTCAAAATGGGATAGAATAATTGCATTTAGCAGCCTCTCTATTATAGGATTAAACTGTCCCTAGATATTGCCTTGTTAATAGCTTTGGGACATGTAGTGCCTTGGATTTTGTTTGCCTTACTCTGTTTTCTGAGAACAATGGTGTAGCTTGGGTTGTAGTTCTTGGGCACATAATACTTTTGCCACATGGTGTGCAATGAGTATAGTGTATGCAGTATGTGTGTTTGTCAAATTAAAGAACGTGATCTGGAGTGCTGCCCGAGCCTCCTAACGGAAACCTCACTCCTCTCAATCTTCCAGACACAGGCACCAGCGTGGGCTATCTAACGTGAACATCTGGCCACTTCACGCTCTGCTTAGAACTCCCCCAAAGCTCCCCATAACCTGTGGAGTCAGCTAGGGGCTTTGTTAAAATGAAGATGCCTGGACCTCAGTCTCCCCACCCCTCCAGGATTCTGATTGACTTGGTGGAGACCTCCCAGACTCTGCCTTTCTGAACCACACCCTTAAAGCTGCTGACTCGGCATTTTAAAAACACGCTCTCGCCCTAGCCGGTTTGACTCAGTGGATAGAGCGTTGGCCTGTGGACTGAAAGGTACCAGGTTCGATTCCGGCCAAGGGCACATGCCGGGATTGCAGGCTTGATCCCCAGTAGGGGCCATGCAGAAGGCAGCCAATCAATGATTCTCTCTCATCATTGATGTTTCTATCTCTTCCTCCCTCTCCCTTCCTCTCTTAAATCAATAAAGAAATATATTTAAAAAAAACAACAACACACAAAAAAAAAAACAACCCCAAAAACACGCTCTCCAGGTTTGCAAGTGATCCTGGGATCACACTTTGAGAAGCTGCTATGGATGAGCCTTCGTTATCTGTAGTGCCCAACAAGTCCCTTCACCAAGTGGCTCCTGTCTGCCTGTTGAACTTCATTTCTGATTAATCCTTGTCTTATGTGTGCTTCCAGAAATAATCTATACACACAAATCAACACAGTGAAACATTCTTTTTCTTTGTCTCGTCTCATTGCTCAGTGATAACACGTTTAAGCTAGTCTGCACCTGTTCTTTTCATTGAAGAGAGAGAGAGAGAGAGAGAGAGAGAGAGGTGAGTGATAAACTTTGATTGGCTGCCTCTCCTAGATACCCCCACCCAGAGATCAAACCCGAAATCTAGCTATGTGCCCTGACCTGGAATCGAACCCACAACCTTTTGGGGTGACACTCCAACCAGCTGAGCCACCCAGCCAAGGCTATTTTAAAACTCTTAACTCAGTACTTTTAACAAAAGATTGGGAAGTTAGATGTTAAAATATAATTAATACAAATCATCCTGGAGTAATAAGATTATATTGAATTAAGATTTTTTTTTAATATATTTTATTGATTTTTTACAGAGAGGAAGGGAGAGAGATAGAGAGTCAGAAACATCGATGAGAGAGAAACATCGATCAGCCGCCTCCTGCACATCCCCCACCGGGGATGTGCCCGCAACCCAGGTACATGCCCTTGACCGGAATCGAACCTGGGACCCTTCAGTCCGCAGGCCGACGCTCTATCACCTGAGCCAAACCGGTTTCAGCAAGATTTTTTTATATATGCATCTTCCATGTTGTATTATTGTGTAACCTTTTAAAAAAGTAAAAAACATTAAAAGTCTATCTAAATTGGTTTTACTTTAAAATTTGTAAGTAATGATTTAAAACAAAAATATATTTAAAATTGCATTTTAGACAGGTACTTAAAACTGATTTTGTATCATAAAGAGGCAAGGTGTAAGGGAATTTGGATAAGGAAAGGAAATAATAATGCTTTTTTTGTTGTTAATCCTCACCTGAGAATATGTTTCTCCACTGATTTTTATTTTTATTTTTAGAGAGAGTGGAAGGGAGGGAGAGAGATAGAGAAACATCGATGTGAGAGAGATACATCTATTGGCTGCCTCCCACATGTGCCCCGACCTGGCCCGGGATGGAGCTTGTAACCCAGGTATGTGCCTTTGACTGGAATCGAACCTGCGACCCTTCAGTCCTCGGACCGACACTCCAATCACTGAGTGAAACCGGCCATGACTAACAGGCTTTTAGTTCTAGCGGATAAATTTCCTACTTGATTAAATGGACGTTTGTTGAGGATATTTCTAAACTTCTAACATTTTACTTAATGGATTATTTAGAAGACATGCTTTAAAAGGAGAGTATTAAATAGTAAGATAGTAACATTATAAAATGTCACTCCAATGGACTGGGAGAGAGAGTTCTTGAAAGATACATGTCTTTATATCTAAAAGTTATCTGTTCTGAGAGCTAACCAGCCTTTGTTTGGATTAAGGTAAATACCAAATAGAGTTCATAAATCTAAATACAAGCAAGCTGCAAATCCAAATGGAAGAAAGTCAACTGCCTGATAAAATATTAGTTGATCCTTGATTTTCAGTTAGCCATATGCAATATATTATAAACCCATTTAAAAAATAAAACACTCAAACTGTAAAACAGGCAAATGATGAGATCCTATTGACTAGATGACTCAGGAAACTTGATGTATTTGGTATTAAAATAAAATTGTGATTTTTCTGAAATCAGACTTCCTAGTTCAGTTTAGACTTAAGTTTCACAGGTAGTCATTAAAATGTGCCTTCAAATAAAAACTGCATTTTGTTTTCTATAGGGCTTTTTAAAGAAATGTAATATGTACTTTATATCATGTAATAAGACAACACTTGTTTTATTTTTATGTAGCTTGCATTGAAAGGCTCTAGCTACAGTGGACTGCTTGAACGACATCATATTCACACCAAAAATGTAGAGCATATTCTAGATAGTTTACGGTAAGTCTGTGATTGGATTTTGGGTGGGCTTTTGTATTCAGGAATTCTAATTTTCTCTACCTAGCAGCTAATCATTAGATTTTAGAATAAAGATGTCCATTATAAAATCACTTTCAGAAAATTATATTGTGGTTAATGGACCTGATATTGTAGTATTTCTAAGGAAATTTTTATTATACTCTGAAAATTTCCCAGTTTTTCAGTTATTATTTGGTCTGCCCAAGAAGTGCCTTTTCTACAAAGGGTTAACTTGTACACAGCAGGCTTCAACTGTATGTGTAATGTTTTTTGTTTGTTTGTTTTCCGTTATTCCTTTTTTTTTATGTATGTGTAATGTTTTGTTTCTTAAAATACTGGATTGGTTATATGGGTATTCATTGTAATCTTTGAATGCCTAAGAATCATCATTATAGAAACCTGTTAATTTGGGGTAAATCTAGTTAGTTGATGTGTATACAGGAGAATCAGTGTAAGAACATGCAAATTAGAAAGTAGTCACTATTTTAGGGTCTGGCACTCAAATGAATATATATTGGATTTAAAATAATGGCTATTCAGTTTTATAATTTAAAAATTGTCTTGCATTTGTCAGTAGCTATAAAAGATGTTTTTAAAGAGATTGGGATAGTCATTAACTTTCAGTTTATTCATATGCTTCATGACTTATAGTTAATTGGCTGTTGCAGTTAAAAGAAAATGAAGCTAACCTTAAAAAGCTAAACATAAATTTGTTTATAAAACAAAACAGTTTATTTTACATCTTCATTGTAATAATCTGCCTCAGAAAACATCCTTGTGATGCTATTAGTGGAGCTTTTATATAACCTTTACTTTTTTACCTTAGGAACGAGGGAATTGAGGTCCGTCTAGTAAAGAGGAGAGAATATGATGAAGAAACTGTTCGATGGGCAGATGCCGTCATAGCTGCAGGAGGTAATAGCTTTACAGATAAAGATGGGGGGTTCGGAGATGCTCGTTAGGACGCCTGCTTCCCAGTAGCGGTGGTTGAAGCCTGCCATAAGATAAGGTTGTGGGTTTTTAGGATCTGTTTACATAGCATGTCCCTTTTTTAGTGAATGATGTTACTTTGAGGTTCCATGCATATATTTCTGTGTCTATTCAAGGTGTGTATTTAACTTCAAGTATGATTTAGAGGATTAGTGGTTAGTTATGCCAATCTTGAAAAAAATTAAAGTTGTTTAAGAGTTTAATGAGATTAGATAAATTCCATCCCTCTCTGGCCCCAATATACATACACTTTTTCCCCCCTGAGCTTTATTATTAAGTTAGTGAACATTCTTTCTAAAGCTTTAAGTTGACAGCATTTGTTGGAGAGAATATTCTGAAATTGGACACTTGGTTGGACATATTCTCATTAAAATAATTTGTGAACTTGGACTGATGTTATGAGAGAAAGAAAGACAATCAGCTAATAGAAGTGATAAGATTAGAGCAGGGTTCCCAGTTAGGGAGTCATCTAGTGGGTGAAGGCCAGGGCTACTGCTAGCCATCCTACAATGCACAGGACAGCTCCCCACCACAAAGAATTACCTGGGTTAAGACGTCAATCCTGCCACTGTTGAGAAATCCTAAGTGAGAGTGGAGAGAGTATGCAAAGGGACGATGGGTAGAGAGGAGGTGGAATAGACTGCGACAGTCAGCAGGATGGGATGGCGGTGGTGATTTTTGAAAGTACTGGAGTTCAAATGACGTTAGAAACCAGTTTTATAACAAGTCTGGGTCTGTCTTCTGGCCTGTAGGTGATGGCACAATGCTTCTGGCAGCAAGTAAAGTGTTGGACAGACTTAAGCCAGTGATTGGAGTGAACACTGATCCAGAACGGTAAGGAAAAACATGTTGTTTGGCTCTTTTTCTTTTAGTGTAATACACAAGAACACTGATGCTTTCTTTGCATAGTATCTGTGTGTGATAAATCTTAACATTTGGAAGCTCCTCGTAATTGTCTGTACCTGGTCATATTGCTGGGTGTGCTGCTGCAAGGAGTGATGAGTTAATGTTCCATCTTCTGTCCTTTCTAATGGTTCTCGGTGACAATCCTGGTTATGCGTCCACTGATTTTTCTGGTGACTTCATTGACTTGGTGAAGAGACCAAATCCTGTTATCATTTTTTTCCTTCTTTCCTCAGCTTCGCTGACATTCACCCCCATTCTGTTCCAGCTGCCCATAGCCGTGATCATACCTGAGCTTTATGATCATCTAGAATTTTCCCATCTCTCAAGTCTGTCTTTGACTTTTACCGAGTTGATCCTCTCTATTTCCTTCATTTAATTCTCCCTTATTCACTTTCTTGACAAATTTCTTAATTATTTTGTATTGTTATCTTTCTACTTAATCCTAGATCAGTTTGTTATCCTCTCTATTCCTGTATCACCACTGTTGAGACCATCCGGGAAAAAAAATCATAGACACTTGGCCTTGGTGGCCCAAATTTACTTTCCATTTGTAGTTTCTAGCACTTAGAACTGTACTCTCAGTTGTTCGATTAACTTCCTATTTGGCCCAAGTCCTCTCTCTTCCCCATTCCCTGTGGCAGCTCCTTCAAGAGTGGCTCTTCAACTTCGTGTCCTCCCTGCTCTCCTTCAACACACCCTGCTCCTCTCTCACAAAGGAAATGGAAGTCACTGGATTAGAACTGCAGCTTTTCTCACGCTTAAAGAAAATCTTGTTCTGTTCCCTTTTTTCCTCTCTCCCTTCACACATGATTTCCTTTTAGGCTAAACCTTAAGACTCCCATCTTTCAAGAAATTTTAATCAATTCTTTACCCTGTGTCACGCTCTTGGTTATTTCCCTTTCCTTTCCTCTATCCCAAAGCTGGGTATCTCCACTTTCTTACTTCACAGTTATTTTCTAAACCTTAGCAGTCTTCTCCGGATTCACCCCCAACCAGTTCATTGATGTTGCCTTTGCCTCATAAAGTGATGATACCCTGGTTACCAAACCCACTGGACACTTAGCTCTTGTTTTACTTGATTTCTGGGAAGTTTTTGGTGCTAACTGCCCCCTTGTTGCATCCGTGCGTCTTTGGCATTATGATGCCCTTTCCTTTCTACCTCTATGGCCACTTCTTTTCACTATCTCTTGATGGGTCTTATTTTTTGGTCACTGCTTATATACTGGTGTTTTCACATATTATCCTCTGGGCTATACTGTCTCTAGAATAACAGATTAATATCTATGGTTTTAACTTAGATCCTGGTGACTTGAAAATTCTTATATCCAACATTGACTGTTTCCATTCTTACTCTTATTTATATTTCTCCTCCCCACTGCAGCCAGAGTGATCATTTTATGAAAGTTTGATGCTATTTTGTGACTTCTCTGCTCAGAATCTTATGGTGACTGCCATTAACTCAGAATAAAATCTAATTATTTACTATACTGGGGTGACCAACTCATCCTGTTTTGTCAGGGACTGTTTGTAAAGGCTGTTCTTAAGTGCACATGTAATGTCTGAGCATGGGCTAACACCATGGGTGGAGGCTCACATGTGGAGGCCTTTTGCTAGTGAGGAGCTCTTTTGGTATTTGAGGTAGCAGGACCTGAAAGAATAAGTAGTTTTCCATAGGGCTGTGTTCTTCTCATGCCGTTGTGTGCTTTTGCCTCAAGTGCCCTTATACCTCTTTCTCATTGGAGTAGTTCTTGTTCATTCCACACTGGTGCCTCTCCTGGGCTCTGACTGCAAGTCCCTGGACAGGCAGTACTTTTCTCTCTATTATTTTTGCTTGATTCTTTCTTCCATTTGACTGATTTCCCTGAGTTCAGGACTTTGTGCTTTACTTTCTCTATCACTATTATAGTATTTCTAGAGGCCCAGTGCACAAAATTCATGCACGGGTAGGATCCCTAGGCCTGGCCTGTGATCAGGGCCAATCTTCTCTGGCTGCTGGCAGCCAGCCCTGCGCTCCACCACCGGTCGCCCTCTGTGTGTGGGGCAACCAGTGGGGCGATTGGGGCCCCGGCGCTGCCCCCGTCTGCTGCCACCCACCCCCGATCCCCATCAGGCGATTGGAGCCTGCCAGCTGGCGGGGAGGGACCGAGAGGTTGGCTGGCAGGCCCTGATCCTGTGTGCGCATCATAGCCAACCGGTCGTTCCGCTGTCTGGTCAATTTGCATGTTACGCTTTTATATATGTAGATATATAGTCAGTAGGCAATAAGCATTGAAATGAATGATTAATTAAATGATCTCAGGGAGCAGGGCTAGGACCCCATCCTAGTTGAGTTAATATTCCCTGAGCATAAGGAGTTGAGATCATTGGTTCTGTGATTATTTTTTTATTAACTTTATTGTTGATGTGTATGTATTTTAGAACTTTTAATGAACTATTTTTATATCTTTAAGAGATTCTAGGTATTTTATACAGTTTATTAAAACATATTTAAAAAGATGACTTAATGCTCATAATCTTATGAGGATTTTGAAACTATAAGTAGATGGTGTTGCCTCTAATTTTTACCTGGAATAGTAGGTTTTAGAAGTCCGTTGTTTCTCTCCTTTTCTTCAGGCAGAAGTAGATTAAGCCTGTGGGCTTGTTCAGTAATTCAGGTTGCCTGACTTCTTTTCTTAAAGCACTGTGGTCCCTCACAACCTTAAGTAAGCCCAGAAGTTATTGTTCAACTTAAGTTTCTTTTTCTCTGTATTAGGTATCAAATGCCGCATAACAAATCTCCCCAAAACTTAGAGGTGTAAAACAACAATCATCACTGATTATCTCTCAGGGTTTCTGTGTCTCAGGAATTCAGGACAGCTCAGCCGGGTGGGTTTGGCTTGGGATCTGAGGAATTTATAGTCAGATGCGCTTGGACTTCAGGCCATCTGAAGCCTTGCCTTGGGCTGTAGGATCTACTTCTAAGATGGCTCACTTACATGGGCTCATCTAAATGAAATGTGTAATTTCTGTTTGTGTCTTTTGTATTCTGCACCCATTCTACTGAGACATTTCAGTGCTTAATAATTAGAATGTGATAGAGGGCATATGGTAGCCAGCCTCCAAGTTAGCAGCTTCCTAGTATTTACACCTTTATGTGGTTCCCTACCCCCTTCTATATGCAATCAGGCCTGGCCTCTGACCAGTAGAATATGGTATGCCTGTGTGTGGCTTCCAAGGCTAGGCTGTCACTGGTATTGCAGCTTCTATTGCAGCTTCTTGGACCGTTCATTCTGGGGTAAGTCAGCCACCATGGTGTGAGATACCTAAGCCCCCTGGAGAGGCTCCCTGGAGAGGAATCAGGCCTCTTGCCAACAGCTGGCACCAGTTTGCCCGCCATGTGAGTGAGCCACATTGAAAGAGAATCCTCCAGGCTAAGTCAAGCTTTCCGATGCTTAGCTCGCTAGCTGAGAATCTGACTAACCTCATGAGGGATCTCCTCTCCTGAGTGTTTTTAATACCTTTTATATACTTAGCACTATGTAAAGTATTGCAGTGAACATAACGTTTTTTAACCTCAGTGTTGACCTCTCAGATAAAGAAATTGACTAGTCACAACTTCATGAAAACCTTGTTTTCTGCTCTTCACACTTACACGTTAACTTACAGTATTACCAAGAGTTTGTTTTGCCAAGTCTACTCTCAACCTTTCCTTCAAGATTGAAGCCATCTTTCTTTCAAGACTGATAATCATTGCGCTTCCCGGACACCTTTCATCACGTTAGGTGCTATATTCTCTCATCTTTCTGTAGCAGCTTATAGGCAATCTTAACACTTTGCAGTTTGCAATAAAAACATTCTGTCTTCCACATCAGGCTGTTTACTCCTTGAAGGAGTTCATCCTGATACGGTTTTTTGAGAAAATGAAACAGTACATTGGATTAAACTGAGTTTTAGTGTCTTGGAATATTTTAAATGATGTTTAATTTAAAAGTGATTTATAGTTCAAAACACTTTCACATCAATACTTTGAATCCTCAGAATAACCTTTGTAGGTTGGTGGGTTTATAGCATAGAGATGAAGAAGCTGGTGACTTGCCCAAAATTAATAGTTAGATAATTTCAGGGTAAGATGCAAACACCACTGTACCATCAGACAGTTTTGCAAGGTGGTCAGTCTATGGCAAATTTGCTGTTATTTTCAGTTTCACTATAATGTGGAAATTAAGTAGTATTGTGTATTGTGGCAGTAAAGCTGGATTTAAACTATGTCTATTCTTTTTTGTTTTTGTTGAAAATAGACAATTTTGTGGCAAAAACAAATTAAGTATAGAGTTGAAATTTAAAAAAATTCATATCTGATTTTTGAATTAAGCCTTTTTTCTTCTTCCTTTTACACCACCCCCAACTCCTTTTCAAATGAAGGTCTGAGGGTCATTTGTGTCTTCCTGTTCGCTATACACATTCCTTCCCAGAAGCCTTACAGAAGTTCTATCGTGGTGAGTTCAGGTAGGAATTTCTTTCTGTTGTTATATAAATATCTTAATAAAGGTGTATCATTAAAATACTGTTAAGCGGAATTAGATACTATTTGATTAGTCCACAATTATAACAGTAGCCATAAAACGTAATATACTAGCTGAGTCACAAACACATCTAACTTACCTTATTCTAGTCCAATCAGAACTATATAGAGAATCCCTGACACATGCCACTTGGCCTATATGTAATTATAAATAGAGGGGTTTTTTCCTTCAGTGAGATATACGCCATGTCTCTACTTTCTTAGCCTTGTTACATGATCTTAGAAAGATAGTAAAAACTGTTGGTTAAAACTGAGTGTTCAAACCTCCTGAGATTTTATGTTTTTTATCCTCCTCTTCTCCCACCCAGAATGACAGAGTTCCTCCCTTGCTGAGATTCTTGGTATCCCTGTCTTACAGATTAGTGTTTCTTAAGCAATGGAGATGGTTTTTTTTCCATATTTCTTTCACTGAATTTGTTCAGTGGTCAGACTACCTTGATAAAGAATTTGACTTTAATTCAAGTTATTTGGGACATTTTGTACACATAGATTAGATATTTCCATTATGATCGAACAAAGAAATAAACTTCTAAATCTGTCTTTTAGCAGGAACCTGTGAATTTTAGGTGTTTCTAGTATAATTTGTTCCTGGAACAAGTAGGTTTTTTAAATGAATTTTTAATTTGGTGCAATTACAATGTCTAATTCTTAGTTTAATTTATTCTGTCTTAACATAACTTGCTTTTCATTCACTCTTCCCAGGTGGTTATGGAGGCAGCGTATCAGGTTATACCTTGAAGGGACTGGCATCAACCCCGTTCCTGTGGACCTTCACGAACAGCAGCTGAGTTTGAATCAACACAGTAGAGCCTTCAATGTCGACAGAGTTCATGATGACAGTAGGTGGATTGGGGGTTAGATGTGTTTGGGTCAATATTTAACTTATAGTTCTTTTGATGTCTAATTTCTAAAAGTAATACTTTATAATTAACTTACTTCAGTACTTACGAAAGTACTGACAATACTTACGAAAGTACAGTGAACTATTTTAGGTGTAAAACTTACTATGATTAGACACTGAAGTAAGAAATATAGCATATTTCTAAGAGAAATGTTTTCTAGGATGGGTTTGAAAATGTCCAAGGGGGTAGATGATATTTAAGGAAAGATTCTTGGCCTTAATCTTTGAAAGGTCAAAAAGGAAAAATAAAGCAGTAGAACTAAAACGAGCTAATCTGTGGAAGATTTCATAATATATATTCATATAGTTACATTTAAACATATTTACTATAGTTATAGTTACTGATTAAAACATTTATGTTGCGAAATTTTGCATTCCAGCCTTCAGATTTGTTTCAAACAATTGTGTAAGCTGCTAAGAGAATTTTAGCATAGGGTGATATGCAGCTTTTTGTTATAAGTAGTTAAGGTGAATTCTCATTTTTGAGCCTATTTGTGGATTACTGGTACATTTTCCTACTTTTCTCCTAGCTCTAAGACTTTCATGGTGCAAGACCAGGAAAAGCTACCTTTACATATCTGCTTTCTGTGTCTGTTTCTGTCTTGTTGTGGTACCTAATGTTTATCCACCCCCGCTCTGCGAGTTTTCATGGTGATTATAGCTTTAGAGGTTAGCATGTTCCTAACTTGTGTGTGTGTTCATGTCATGTTTTAAAGATGTTCCTTCTCTCCCCAAACAAAAATCATTTGATTTTAGAAATCTTTTAAGTAATTACATGCATATAAATTTCCATTACTGATTTTGAAAGGCTGCAGCAACTGTTCACTAAGATTTAAAAATCTTAGCTAGAAATTTTACTTTGTCCCACACTAGAAGATGGTTAGGTTCGGCTCTTTTCACCCAGTCTTATAGGAAAGAGGTAGATTGGTATTCAGAGGCTCATTGCTCAAACTCCTATGTCAGGTTCACTGTTTTTAGCTCATAATTTAAGTTAATGTATTATATAGAGAAGCAAAATTACATATAAATTGAGTAGTACCCAGGGCGTTCATATAAAACGTAGGCATCAGTCTTTGAATTAAAAGGACCCACAAACCACATGAATAATTATGTTAAAAGGCCCCACAAGGTATGCCAGATTGCAGGGATAAAAGAAACTCCTGCAGGTTTCCAGAGCAGGAGTGAGAGTGGTCGTGGTGGTGATTGTGATGGGAGTAGGTTATTACATTGTAAAGAATTTGGAATCAGAAGAGTTTCAGATTTTTTATGTTAATATGGGAGATTGTGTTAATTATTGAGGTAGTTATTAATATTGTTGATACCATTAATAATTATGTGATATTTATCATGTCTAGGAACTAGTTTGGAGTGTTCTATTTATGTATTTATTTTTAAATATATTTTTTATTGATTTCAGAGAGGAAGGGGGAGAGAGAGAAACATCATGCCTCCTACACACCCCTTACTGGAGATCGAGCCCGCAACCCGGGCATGTGCCCTTGACCGGAATCAAACCCAGGACCTTTCAGTCTGTAGGCCGACGCTCTATCCACTGAGCCAAACCAGCTAGGACTGGAGATTTTTGATAGCTTTATTTTCTGAGACAAAATTGAGAAAGAGTTCAAGGTATAGCTCCTATTTCCTATTTAAATTCTTTTCATGTTGGCAGGAAACATTTCCTAGTAAGCTGCCACTTGGGATTTTTGAATATAGGTGTAAGTTTGTGATTATAAATATACCACCATGTTGATCCCTTATTTAGCTTTCTAATTTAGAACAAAAGATTACAGAGGGGGAAAAAATAAGTTTTTTGACTTTTCAGTTTAAAAAGGTCTGATGTAACTTTAAACAAAAATTTTCATTGTATGTAGTATAATCTGCCCTTAGCTAGATTGTATTTGTGTAAAAATTAATGAAGAATTCATTCTTGTTACCTATATACCTTCAAAGGAACATAGAGTTAGTTTATTTATTATTTTTTAAACATTTTTTATCATGTAAACCTAGTAACTTCCTTATTTTCAAGGCTGCTTTTATTAATTTGGATAAGTGAATGGATATGCTAAACAATCCCAGAATTTCAGTGGCTTCACTTAATGAAGGTTTAATTCTAGCTCCTCTCACTCACAGTCCAAGGTGTGTTCAAGCAACTTCCAAACAGTGGCTCCTATCATCTAGGGCAGTGGTTCTCAACCTGTGGGTCGCGACCTCTTTGGGGGTCGAACGGGGCGAACGACCCTTTCACAGGGGTCGCCTAAGACCATCGGAAAACACATAAATAATTACATATTGTTTTTGTGATTAATCACTATGCTTTAATTATGTTCAATTTGTAACAATGAAATTGGGGGTCACCACAACATGAGGAACTGTATTAGAGGGTCGAGGTATTAGGAAGGTTGAGAACCACTGATCTAGGGCCTCTAAGTCTTCTATTGGATCCTGGGTAGAGGAACTTGGGGGAAAAGTGTGGAGAGCCTTAAGGGAAGTTTTAGGAGCAGGCCTTTGTACTTTTTTTTGCTCCTATTCCATAGGCTGTTGCTAGTCCCATGTGTATATCCAGTGTGAGTCGGCCTGAAAACATAGTCTACCAGTATGGCAGTGTGAGAGAATTGCACAGTGTAGCAGTCCCTGTCTCTACTACTGTATAAAAATTCTATATTTAAAAATACACTTTTTAATTAATTTTGTAACCCATTCTTTTGGATAGAAAAGTGTTAGTTGGTATTGAGCCCATTTTTTAAGATAAATTTATTGGGGTGACATTGGTCAATAAGATTATTTAGGTTTCAGGTGTACATTTCTAAGATACATAATCTGTATATTGCATTGTGTGCCTATCACCTAAAATCAAATCACCTTCATCACCATATATTTGACTCTAAAATAAGACAGAAAAAGTTAAGAGCCATATAATTTCACTCACATGTGGGATATAAAACTGAAAGCAACAAATGAATAAACAAGAAAAACAAAAACTTAAAAAAACAGATCTGATTTCTACCAACTGATTTGGTTTCCAACGTGAGCCAGGCATGTAATGTGCTGCTTAAATCCCAAATGCCTTTCCTTTGGAGGTATTTGGTCATTTCACCTCTGAAGTTTCCAGAGTAAAACCTAGTTAAGTGGGACAGTAAGAATCTTGTAAGATGGATAAGTATATTTTAGCCACTCTTGAGAAATTGTTTCAAGAAGAATTAAGGTTTATTTTGGAGAGTCAGAAAAGTTCATTGCAGCTGTAATGTAAGATGACTTTGAGGTTTATATTTTGAATACTTTGAGTTACTGTATATGTTAATACTGTTAAAGTATAGATTCTATTACAACAAAATATGAATATTTTAATTTTATAAAATTTATGTCATAACATTGCTAAAATTTAAGAGCTATCTTGGATTTGTTTCTTCATTACCTGCAGGGCCTGAGGCTTCAGGACCCCAGCTTTTGCCAGTGAGAGCACTAAATGAAGTCTTCATTGGGGAGAGCCTGTCATCCAGGTACATTTAAACCTGTGAGCTTGAGTTTGGAATTGAACGTGTTAGTATTTTTTACATATTTATTAAATTTCTACAACCTAAGATTTGTGAATAATTAATACTGTCTAAGTAACAGAAATGAATTATTTAATGAAATATTTCTGAAACCTTCATACACGTTAATACATATTAAAGAGAAAGAAGGTTCTATGACCCAAAAAGTTTGTGAAACCCTAGGCCAGTGGCCGGCAAACTGCGGCCCCTTGAGTGTGGCTCTTCCACAAAATTCCACGTTCGGGTGCACACGTACAGTGCGATTGAAACTTCGTGGCCACACTCAAGGGGCCAAAGAGCCGCATGTGGCTCGCGAGCCGCAGTTTGCCGACCACTACCCTAGGCTAAACAAAGTTTTTCAGGTTCTTGACTGCAGTATTTCCCAGAACCTTTCATCCGTCATACAGGTGCATTTATATTTATCATCTATGCATGCTTAAGAGAATGGGGTATACTTACTAGGCATACATCGGCAATTGATATAACACTTTTATTAAAACTTACCTAATTGTCTTAATGATGTTCTTTAAAGCTGATTTGTTTGTTTGCTTGTTTTTATCCAGGATCCAATTAAGGATCTCGCCTTGCATGTGGCTGTCATGGCCCTTTCGAATTAATTAAGAACAGGTCCTTAGCCTCACTCCTGTTTGTCATTCATGATATTAATATTTGAATGGTCTAAGCCGGTTGGTTTGCAGAATAGCCCTTATTTTAGATTTGTGTGATTTTTTTTTTCCTCTGCATGATTAGATTCAGCCTAAACATTTTTGTCAGGAATACTACGTAAGTGATAATTGCGTCCTTCTTAGTTCAACATCATAAGGCAAGTATATTGCCAGGTTAAGATTTGTAACCATTATTAGCAAAAAATTAAGATTAATAAAGTTCTTTATTAAAAGTTTTATGGATGAAATCTGTTTTGTGGGTGTTGAATGTAACTTACGCTTAAATTGTCAGTCGAGTTTTTTTTGCAAAACTTTGTGTTCATTACCAGTTATAAAATGTCATTAGTTACTAGTTATGAAATGATTACTATAATATAAAATTTAGCTCTTGGTAGTGCTTTAGAACATGCCTTCTCCTTTTTGTATATGTAAATTTGTCTTAATTCAAAAAGCTACCTATGTTTTAGCCAGTGATTTCACTTAGGTAGTACTGGAAAGAACAGAGCCTGATTCAACAGGATGACTTGGACAGTTGTTCTGAGTAGTTGTAATTATTTGGATTAATGTAACTTGAAATTTATTCAACAAAAATATATTATGCATTGCTGTGTGTATTATGAGAGCCATTAGGAATATAAAGATGAATAAGATAAAGGTCATGGTATCTTAATTTTTTGGAGGGTGGTGGTAAAATGCATAACTTAAAAAATTATTAAAAGTAAAATTCTTCAAAGTAATAAAAGATATATTCTTTAAAAAACTTAAAGTGTAAAAATATTTATTTTAACATAGTAAGACATACTGTATATAAAGTTTTTTTCTTTTGTGTATCAAATATGAAGCAATATGGAAATGAATAATGGGTACATTTCTGCAATAAGAGGGAGAAGGAAGAAAATGTAACTAATTAGTGATATAATCTGGTATTATTGCTAAAGACATAAGAGAACCACAACTTTAAATGAGATTGGAGAAAGTCTATTAAAATGAATAGATGACAAAGGTAAAAATGGTTTGTGAGTTTATGCTTTTACTCTAGGGAAGTCATTTAATGGCTTATATTATTATGTTTGTATATTTTAAAGGTTGTAATTTCTGAGAGCTTCTGCTAGCAATGCTTTATAATTTGTACTTACTAAAAATCAAATAATGTATGAAAGGAGGGAAACTGGGATAAATTGATAGACTTTGGGCATTCAGTGAAGTCCCAGTAGGAGGTTTTGGTTGAATGCTTTTATTTCCTGTGGCAGTAGTGATTTGGTTGGTTTATCTCTAAATAATGTCTGACGCTGCTGCTTTTTGTGCTCTTTGATGCCTCACCTTACATCTTTACTAAGATAAGGACAGCAGGGGTTGTCTTCGGATGCTATTGGAAGAGGTTTCCCTGTTGACGGTATTAGAGGTTACTTTGAAAGCTGCTATGATATAGACCCTCAGGCAGAAAGGAAGTGACGACCACTTATTAGACGCCTGCGATGTGTCAGGCACTTGCATCTTGTGCCTGTATCACATTTAATGCTCATAGCAACCCTGCGAGAAAGGTAGTTGTATTTACCAGGGGAAAAATTGAGATAAAGATTTGGAGAGTTCATGGAACTTGTCCGAAGTCATATAACTAGTCAGCATCAGAACGGATTCCAGATCCTGTGTTAGGCTTCACTGTGCCCTGAGAACTTAAGTGCCTTGCTTGAAAAATACAAAGTGCAGCAATATTATTCCTGCCTCATTTATAATGTTCTTAAATTTAAGAACATTTTAAAAGCCCATTTTTTTCTTTTCTCCTATTTGTTCTAACCTAGAATGTCATATTCTTGGGCTGTAGCAGTGGACAGTTTAAGAAGAAGTATACCCACTCTAAAGGGACTGTGAGTTTTATTGCTGCTTTAAAAAAATAATTCCCTGAAACAAAAATTCTATGAGTTGACTAATCTTGATAAACCTGTATGAAAGAATGACACTAAATTTGCTCATTATCTCTCACCTGACTATCACTTTTCTTCTGCACCTCCGCTTCTCTCCCCACTCACCTCTAATCTCTTGTTTCCATGTGATTCTGGCATAGTAGCAACCATTCCAGTGATTTGGCTGGCTTGTCTGTACATAACGAGCTCCTAATGAGACTAAAATCCCTGATTTTCTAAGATATAATAAAGCAATGAAGTAGATTAAATGTGAATATTAAGTGTGCTATCTTTTACTGTTATGAAGAATGTTGAGTTCTGAGAAAAAATGAAAAGGAGTTGTATCATATAAAACCTTCACAGATCCAAAGCTTGATCGGAGAGATTAAAAGGGTTAGAGCAAGAGTTAAATTATCCCTTGAGTGTTAGTGTTTGCAAGTATGTCTAATAATTAATTTTGAAAAGCTATATTTTATTAAGGGTTTATTTTAACTTTTTTATTTGCTAGAGAAAAATAATCCAGTGTTGATTAGTGACAACATTATTTTAAGTTACAGTTTACAAAATAGACTTTTACATGTTTCAAAAGTTCTTTGAATAGTTGCAAATCACTTTTACTTTCATGCAGTTAAAGAATAGTATCATTTTTGCTAGTATCCAGAAAACCCATTTGATGAAATACTATAAGAAATATAAATCTCTAGTTCTGCCCAGTAGTTCAGTGCTGGTTGAGAATTTTCTTTTGAACTTGTTTGCTTACTATCAACTCAAAAGGCACAATAGTATGTAACTCAACAGAAACGTAGCAGAAACTCCTGGTAACTCGAAGGATTAGAAATAGACTTAAGTATATCAAGAATTAGCCACCAAGAAAGACACTCACCAGAGAATGGTTTTTCTTTTTGAATTCTGAAATGAGTCTCTGTGTGTGTTTTTTTGTGTGTTTTTTTATATATTTCTTTATTGATTTCAGAGAGGAAGGGAGAAGGAGAGAGAGATAGAAATATCAATGGTGAGAGAGAATCATTGATTGGCTGCCTCCTGCACACCCCCGACTGGGGAACAAGCCCGCAACCCAGGCATGTGCCCTCGGCCGGAATCGAACCTGGGACCCTTCAGTCCGCAGGCTGACGCTCTATCCACTGAGCCAAGCCAGCTAGGGCGCTCTGTGTGTTTTTGACTCCGTAAAAGCAGCAGCAGCAGCAATGCCAGGTAAAAACCTTAGAAGATGCCCTGTTTGGAATGTGAAGTATTGATAGAAAGGAACACATAGATCAGAGAGGGATGTAGACATGCAGATTTTTTTTTAACTTTTTCACTTAATATGAGCATTAGCATCATGATGTGTGTGCCTACTAAGTAGTCAGGCTGGCCTACATAGATTTCCTCAGTTCTGAAAAAGACTGTGTCTTATTTACTGTGAGCCTCCAGTTCAGCAAATCCAGTTTTATATTCTTAATTCATAGGGCTTCCTACTATGAGATTTCAATTGATGATGGTCCCTGGGAAAAACAGAAGAGTTCAGGGCTCAATTTGTGCACTGGAACGGGATCAAAGGCCTGGTGAGTAACTTGGGATGCTGCTTATCGACTTTTGTGAAATATTTTAAGTAACGTGATGTACTCGTTATCTCTTATCGGCATATCTAAGGCCTCGGATACACAGCAGGCAGCCTGGTGGGGCTGTGTGGGTGGCTCGGTTTCTGCTTCACTCATGGGTTGGGTCTAGAAGTCTTGCCTTGACTTCTTAGACAGCAGTGCAGCCTAGCTCTGGGCATAATTTAGCCCATCTCACTAGATTTGTAAAGAGGAAAAAGGAGATGAGCAATGCCTGTGTCCTTGCATTGCTTAATAGTATCACTGTTTACCCTGAGTTAATGCTCTAGAGAAAAAACATTTTTCCTCCAAACCTTGAGTCCACCTTTGAGTCTCCCACAAACCAGTCTCTAAATCCAGTCAGTGGCACTTCTGAAATCCTTACCCCCACCCCCCCTTTCAATTTCTACTGCCATTTCTTTAGCCTGGGCCCCACTTTTTAGTGAGTAGTCTTTGTACCTGGCCCTTTATTCTTCAGGCTGTCATTCATCCTACCAACAGAGTGTCATTTCTAAAATGCAGATAAAATATGACTGTACCCTATCTGTGCTTTAAAACTTTCATAAACTCCTGACTATGTTCAGATTACTCAGCCTGTCATACAAGGCCCTTTAAGTATGACCTGGAGTTCCTTACCAGCCTGCCGCTGCTCTACCCTAACCCTCAGCACAGGGGACACTGCAGGCTACTTGGAATTCTCAGCACAAGCCAGGTTCTCTCTGGGCTTTTGTTTTTACTCAATGCAACTTCTTTCTGCATTGAATACTTGAACGCTCTCCATTTTCCATCCACTGGCTGAAAAATCCAGTCTTCAAATGTCATTCTCTCTGTAGGAAAACTACTAGGACCTAGATTTTTTTTCATGAGCACAATTAACCCCTTTTTTGTCCTTTCTAGCACTTTTTCTCATAGCACTTACCACATTATTAGTTATCTAGTACAGTGGTCGCCAACTGGTGGTCAGTGAGGTCCGAAAGGTTGGCAACCACTGGTCTAGTAAGCTCATACCCAGCTAGTTTGAACAATTTGAGGCATTTAGGATGGTGTCTAGTGTCACTTTTTTCCCTTGCTTAATTTTTTGTGTGCATATCATAGTACCTAGCACATACTCATGCACATATTTGTGGAATAAAGACTACATGCTCACAAATAGTGCTTATGAAACTATGGTCTGAAGTTTGGGTCATTTAAAATGGAGTTTTAGTTCCTATTTTTCAGCATTACTTTTTAAAACCTTTTATTGTGAAAAAATTTAAATATATACAAGAATAGGAAAAATAGTATAATGAATCCCCATGTCCAATCTTGTGTTTTCTCTGTTCCCCTATATATCCTTTCATCTTATAAAGATCTATTTGTTGTTGTTGTTGTAAATCCTCACCCAAGGATATTTTTCCATTGATTTTTTTAGAGAGTGTGGAAGGGAAGGGGAGAGGCAGAGAGAGAGAAACATCAATGTGAGAGAGACACATCAACTGGTTGCCTCCTGCACATGCCTGACTGGGGTGAGGATTGAGCCTGCAACCGAGGCATGTGCCCTTCACTGGAATCGAACCCAGGACCCTCAGTACGTGGGCCAATGCTTTATCCACTGAGCCAAACCAGCCAGGGTTATAAAGACCTATTTGGAAGTAAATTTTCAGACATCATATCACTTGCTTCATAAGTAGTCAGTAACTTAACATATTTTTTAAAAAATCCCAGTCTTAGTCAAATAAATGAACCTTTGGGGAAAAAATGAAAAGTATCATTTTAAAAAATTGGTTGCCTTGGCCAGTGTGGCTCAGTTGATTGGGTGTCGTCTCGTGCACCAAAAGGTTGCCAGTTCAGTTCCTGGTCAGGGCACATACCTGGATTGTGGACTTGGTCCCCAGTAGGGGTATGCAGGTGTGTCTGAATCGTTGCAGTATCATCTTGGTTCCCTTCCCACTGGGGGACATGATTTGCTACATACACTGGGAGATGTACTACAGAGTGGGATCATACGTTTCTGTTAGTTCTTAAGACTGTCTCCAGTCCTCCATACATTCTGTCCTAGCAGATGTAAAGGTGAGGAGTGCTCTTAAGTGAAGAAAGTTTTGCTAGCCAATGAAGATATGAGACCCAATTTGTCTTTCAATTTGGTTGTCTTTAGTACAAGGTATGTCTGATTTCAAATGGGAACTTAGTATGGTAAAGGATATAGAAAAAAAAAGTGATCATGTGCTAGCTAACACTTGCGTAGTCATGTAGTTTGTCTTTGTAGAATATAAACCACTTCTAAAGGTAGGATGAACTGGCTGAGATTCAGGTCCTAGCCACAGGAAATTAGTCTTAATTTAATCCTAATTCAGAGGACTTAGTTTGGGTTGGTTTTTTTATTTATTTTTTATTTTTTATTAAATCTTTATTGTTCA